CAGTGATGTCACTCAGAGTGACCCAGGTCAGATTTTTTTTTCACTTAGGGAGGGGGTAGCTGAGTTATCAGACACCAGGATGTAACAGACCAGCTTTTTCTGGCTGTGCACAAGGAGGGGAGGAGTGGTGTGTGTGTGATCTATTTGTGGCAGCAGCCGACTCACACCTGTCAAATGACAAGTTACACAGAACAACAAGTCAGAAAAATGAGGTGCAGTGAAGATCTTATTTTTTCTCCCAACTTCATTTCAAATTCTAAAGAATATGATGGACTAAACATGTTACCTTTGAAGAATAATGAATGCTTCTTAAATCAAGAATATCCATCTCATTTGAAAATTGCACCTAACTTTGATGGGCAACAAATATTTATTAGAACCAATAAAATTGCAAATGCTAATAAACAAAAGTACTAAACCATATTTTTAGTCTCCTCATCTGTTGACAACAATTTTAAAGCTCCATAACAGTCTTAAAGTTTCTGATTTTCTGCCTAAAGACACCACAGAGGCCTGTAAATCCAATATGATCAACATCAGCCAAAAAAAAAAAAAAAAAAACATCTGGTTGCTGCCCTGATTTCAGGACTGATTGTTTTCTAAAAGATATTAAACATAACTTATAATTCAGACAGAACACAGAGGGGTTCCTAAAGAAAGTTATTGTTCGTTTGAACATGTTTGCACCTCTTATGCAATTGATTTCTGTTATTATGTCCAAGGGCCATAGCAGCAGCAGCTAGTTGTAGCACTTCCTGTGTAGCCTGGGACATGTCCATTAGGAATGTAATGTAATGTAATGTAATCCATTAGTTTCTATGTTCTGCACAATATATTGGTTGAAAGAACACAAGGTGATATTTCGTAAATTAGTTCTGGAGCTAACGCTATAGTTATTAGCTCTGGAGCTAAGATCAAATATTGTCTCATATATAATACAGCGGGTAAAATAAGTATTGAACACGTCACCATTTTTCTCAGTAAATATATTACTAGAGGTGCTAATGACATGAAATTTACACCAGATGTCGGTAACAACCCAAGTGA